TTTCGTACTGGGCATACTGCGAAAGACCATTGGGCTGGGCGAGCTCGGCAAACCGTAGGACGGCAGCATCAGTCGCATTGCCCGTCACCTCTCGGTCATTCACTGGCAGTCCAATTGTCGCGGGATCAAAAGAGGCATCATTGCACAGGAACGAGCCCCGAAGAAGGATGCTCAGCGCCCCGGGCCACTCGGTCGAGCCCCGTTGATCTCCAAGCAGCTGATCTACGTTGAGCTCTTGATCGATCAGGCCGAGCGACCTGACAAACATCTTGTTCTGGGTCAATGTGCCCGTCTTGTCTGAGCAGATGACGTTGACGCATCCCAGGGTCTCCACTGTTGCAAGTCCCTTCGGCAGAATGTTGTTCTTCTTCATCCGCTTGGCTATCATCATCAGAGTGAGCGCCACTCCAACAGGCATACCTTCAGGGATGAACGCAACGACGCAGCCCATCACATTGTTCAGCATCGCGACCACGTTCATGAACTGGTAGTGGTCCACACGCAACCACCCAACCCAGGTGAAGAGGATGATCAGAACCAGTGTGATGGTCAGGCCGATGATGATTCTCACAAAACGAGAGATCTCCTTTTGTATCAACGTCGGCTTTTCCTTGACGCCAGTGGTCATTTTGGCGATGCGACCCATGACAGACCGACTGCCGGTCAGTACCACTACACCGACCGCATTGCCGTTGGTGACACTTGTGCCCATGAAAGCGATATTACGGGTTTCCAAGAAGTTGTTGTCAGTCATGTCGATGGCGCCTTCAATCTCGTCAGACTCTCCCGTGAGAATAGAACGGTCGAAGCGGACGTCTCCAGATGTCTGGAAGAGACGTATGTCCGCGGGGACTTTGTCGCCGATGGAAACATGGACGATGTCACCGGCAACAAGGTCCGTCGATGGCACGCGTATTTGCTTCCCGTCGCGCACAACAAGGGCTTCAGACGGGAGCAGGTTGAGGATCGAGTTCATGACATGCTTCGTAGACCAGTCTTGAAATGCCGAGAAGCTTGCTTGCAGGAAGATCACGATGAGGACGAGGATGGCCATGGCAAGATTCGGGACTGACGGTGGATTGCTGAGGGGTTTCCAACAAACGAAGAAGATGATGACACCGACCCATAGAACCGAGCAGAAGCCGCCAAAGACGTAGAAAAAGATCTTCTTGAGGTAGTTCTCGCTATGATGAGCGATGACATTCTTCCCATCCCGCTGCAGTCGAGTGGTGGCAGCAGACGAGCTGAGACCGGACCGGGAATCCACGTTGAGTTGCTGGAAGAGCCTGTCGGGTTGGAGGATGTGATAGTCCAAGCTTTCGAAATAATCTTGATCGGAGTTATTCTCCTTGGCCTGCCTTGCTTTGATGGCCGCTTCTGTGGCGTTCTGGGACTCGGAAATCTGAAACGAGAGGGTCCTGAACTCGATAGGTATCCCGGCGGCCTTGTTGCTCTGGGAGGCATCGTGAGAGCTGCGAATGGTGTCTCGGCTCAGAGAACGATGCCGACTGAGTCGAGAGTGGTAGATTCCTCCACTTCCCTCTTCCGCTGGTACTGCATGATCGAATTGGATGCGGGTTGTACGACCCGTTCGATCATCAGGGGACTCGTTAGGGTTATCAACTCCCAATTCGAGATCTTGTTTCAAAGGTTCGGAGGAAGCAGGTGACTGAGCCATGTCAAGAGCAGCGATTTCAAGAGTGTATGAGATTGAACACTCAGATCTGCTGTCTGATTATGGCGGAGAGTCTAGGAGGCACGGGAAAATAGAGGGACGATGAAAGGATGGAGGAGGAGGAGGCCATGGAGCAGGCATGACGGCTGTCTTATATGTGAAAAACCTGTAGATCTACTAACCAAGGAAGGACAGAAGGGCACAAATGGGTAATTCAGATACTACGATGCGAGATTTTGCTCAATTGGGGGGGAAGCCATGACAAAGGATGTCAGTCACTGCAGACACTAAACTATCTGCTTGGGGGATAGAACTGTGGAGGCAAAAAAGAAATTATGAGATCAGAAGGCCGGTACGAGATGAGTAAGACACTGTACCGGATGGACGATGACAAGACAGAAATTGACAAGGCATAGAGAGACTGATCAAAACTTGGGAGAGGATGGAGAGCAGAGATGGCACTGTCCGTGTATGCTCCGCCTGCATCCTTTGCTGTACGGAGTAACTGAACCAGAGCTGAGATGGTTCCAAGGTCAATGATCTTGACGATGCCGGTAGCAGCAATTCTGGCATCGATGGTTAGAACCAATTTCTCGTATAATAGACTGGAATCGGGATGGAATCGGCCATGGTGAGAGACTGAGAGAGCGATTGATGGTCAGAGGGATCAGTGAGGGAATTTTCTCCTCCACAGAAAAGGTACCAACCACTTCCATGTGCTTTCTCCGGACAGATACCGTAGCCTCGACAGATTATGGATCGCAGTTTGAAAAAAAAAATCCGCGGTCCATCTCCATCAGGCAAGGGTTTTCTCCTGGTCAGGATTAATCCCTCAGCATGATAGCCTCAAGCCACCGTCATGTCGAGGCTGCTCTAATTAAGCTCAATGAGGGCGCTAACAGGAGCGCCACACTGACATGGGAAAAACTTCCTCTAGATAGACGAAATTAGTGCATGACATGATCCACAGTAAAATAAGAAGTAGACCGATATCGTGGGAAGAAGCGAGAAAGGGAATTAATTGCAACTGTCGCTTGCAGCCGTGGTCCTCTCGTTTCTCTTTCGTCCGGAAAATGCCTCAGCGCATCACTAGCACTAGTCCAATCCCCCGCCACGTCCTCTGTCCATGAGCCTTTTGTTTGAGCAAATCGCAGATTAAAACAGCACGTAAGAGATTTCTCCCTCTCCGGTGAGATCTTTGGACTGACTGACTCCAAAGCAGCCATGTGCTGATTGCAACCGTTCCCCACCATTGTTCATTCTACCCCTTTGCGGCCTCTGTCGGTTAAGCAGACAAAGAGACCGAGTCGATAGCTCCTGTCCATAGAGCTCAGTCCGTTGCTGCCTGTGACGGGACAGCGAACGGGAAGGACGCTAGCTCGTCTTCTGATTGTCAAGAGGGATGAAAGACTGCCGGACAGGAGCACAGCTCTGATCATGCCAATTTTGGCAGTCGAGTCAATGGTGAGCAGATGGCTGGCTCCGGACCAGACGCTCAATGGGGCGTCAAGCTGTTATTATACCTCGTGCTTGACAGGCCAGATAGGAGCAAAGCTAGTAGTACCATTATGCAGCAAGCAACTCATATTGAGAGTCACACAGAGCTTGCAAGATCCCCCTGACTTGCAGATGGGCAAAAGGGCGATGAGCGATTTCATCGGATCATCATCTGCCAATGAATCTGCGCTTGTGTATATCCAAGCCACGTCGAGTACCAGGACTATGAGCATATGATCCGCCATTTTGAGCTATCTGAGGCATTTTTTTGTGGAAACGGCTGTACAACAATCGATACTGCAGACTGCAGATATACTCCTGCCATCTCCCTGCCGCGTATCCTCATCCCTTGATTGGACTCCAGCACCCTGATATAGCTGGATGGCACTGCTAGTCGTCTCCTGAGTTATAAATACATGCTTTTCAAATCTATCATGAGGTGTTGAGATCCAGGTTATACACTCTTCAGTAACAGTCATGTCGCCCATACCCAGGCTGAACACCAGCCACGGCTATGACAACCATCACCAGCATGACCTGGTATCCCAAGAACCCAGGGAGACCTACAACTTCTTCGAAGCGTTGAAACTCCCCAACATCTTTGTCCGCTGCTGGACGCCCAAGAACTCCTGCAGTCCGGAACAACGACCACTACTGCTTTCTTCCTCCTCCGTCTACTCCAGCATCACCCCATCACCAGCACCCTCCTCCCTAGCACAGGAGTACGGCACCTGCATCGAGATCCTTCACTACGGCTCGTTCAGCTCCGTGCGTCTATACGCCCGCAGAGCCACCTCCAGCCCTACAGGTACATCCCCCAAACAACTCCATGTCGTCAAGGCCTTCCGACGCTCCTCCAGCCCTACCATCATAACCCATCACCGCTTCGAACAATTCCTCTCCTCCTCCCTTTCCCATCCCAACATCCTCCGCACCATCGACTCTCTCCTCAACGACCGCGACGAGCTCTGCCTGGTAACGGAGTACTGCGCCGCTGGCGACCTCTGCACCCTCATCGCCACAGCAGGCGCCACGCTCACGCTCTCCGACATCAACTGCTTCTTCAAGCAGATCATGCGCGCGGTCGCTTACCTCCATGACCGCGGCATCGCACACCGCGATCTCAAACCCGAGAATATCCTCCTCACTGTCTACGGGGCGGTGAAATTGGCCGACTTTGGGAGCGCCGTGTGCCTGTCCCGGGGTGATGCCTCTGACTCGGATACCGAGGTGGAGGGTGAGGGTGATGCTGATGGTAGGGTGGCCTTCTCATACTCCCCGCCCCGGAAACTCCTCGGGACGATACCCTACATTGCGCCAGAGGAGCTGTGCGAGGTCCAGAAGGTCGACCCGCGGGCGGGCGATGTCTGGGCGGCGGGGCTGGTGTATACGGCTATGCGCTGTCGGCGGCTGCTGTGGCGCATGGCGAGCGAGGAGGAGGATGGGCGGTACCGAGAGTATCTTGTTGGGCGGAAGGGGGAGGAAGGGTATGCGCCTATTGAAGGGCTGGGCGAGGTAGGTGCCACAGCTTGTGAATTCTGCGATAGATAGCAGACGCTGACTGAGCGATAGAAGCGCTGTCGCAATGTGGTGTATGCGATGCTGGATCCGAATCCGAGGCGGCGCATCACGGCGTCGCAGGTGCTCCGGTCTGAGTGGATGTATGCGGTGAGGGTTTGTCGTGCTGGAGAGATGGGGTTGTAATTAATAGGTAGTCAAGGCTGGTCCAGACACTGATAAGCGCATTTGATGATGGATATATGCTATGTTTCAACGAGGCTTATGGGACTATTTTACATATTCATTCCACTTCCAACATCAACAGTCATTAGACAGTGCCTGCAGCCAACACGTACCCCCCGTCCACCACGATCGTCTGCCCATTGAGATACTGGTTCGTGGCCGTGAAGAGCACCGCACTCGCCATATCCTCGTCCTTGCCCGGCCGGCCCGCCGGCACTTTCTGCTCGTACTTCTCCTTGGGAATAAAGCTCTTCTGCTTCTCATCGCTCTCCCCCGCAGTCATCTCGCTGGGGAACACACCCGGGGCGATATTATTCACCCGGATCTTCAGCTTGGAGGTGCTAATCTCATGCGCCAGCATCTTGGTCAGATGGATCGCCGCCGCCTTGGACGCATTATACGCAAAATGATGCTGCGAGACTTTGACGATCCCGGAGATCGACGAGATGTTGATCACCGTGCTGGACCAGCCGTGCTCCTTCTCCGACCCCTTGGCCAGCAGCGGCAGGAACGCCGTGGTGGTGAAGAACAGCTGCGTCACGTTCGTCCGGAACACGCTCTCCCATTCCTCTGGCTTGGAGGCCGGGTCGTCGAACAGGCTCTTCCGCAGCTCGCTGGGCTCTTCGTGCTCCACTGTCTGCGAGTGGCTTGAGATTCCGGCGTTGTTGATCAGGATGGAGAGGTGACTCTCGCGCGAGGAGATCTCTTGCACGAGCTTCTCAATTGACTTCTTGTCTGTGATGTCCGCTGTGATGGGGATGATTTCGCCGGGGATGTTCTTTCCGTACAGCTCGACGACGCGGTCCAGCTTCTCCCCTGTGCGTCCGGTGATGTAGACTTTGGCACCGTTGACAGCGAGGGCTTGAGTGGCCATCAGACCGATGCCGGAGCCTCCGCCAGTGATTAGGGCGACTGTACCGGTTAGTGTCTTTCGTATCAAGGAGAACTGAACGGCTGCATACCCTTTCCCTTGACATTGAAAAGGTTGTCGAGCTTGAAGGTCTGGTTGCTACTCTGCGCCTCCATTCTGACTTTTTCGGAAACAGATCGATGTGATGTAGCGGTAAAAGGCCTGTACGTAGATGGGGCGAATTGTCTAGGATAATTCTGTAACGAAGACAAGCAGCTTTTATTATATACAGCCTGGTGGCAGATACGTGGTTGAAATATCTGGCGAGAGACAGCTCGCAGGGGAGCAATTTGGCGCATCATCACTGCAACACGCGGCCGTTTGCAAAAGTAAAACAGGATTTCTAGAGTGTATAAAAGGCATTTCTCTCATCTAGACCGTCATGGATGAACGATTGCGGCATGTCTGGCAAGATTCACCAGTGTCCAGACAGGATTTCGTCCCCCACAGTGTTGTGTGGTTCATCACAATGACGTCGTACTTTATTTGGTACCTTAGAGAGATGATGTCGGTGATAACCACGAACTCTACCAGACTGATCTCCTGCATTGGTCCGAGCTCGATCTTGGAAACGTAGTCTTCCATACAAGGCGATTCTTTTTGTTGCCGTCGTCTGTGTACCTGATCTACTTTGGTATCACTAAATATCAACGCAAAGGTTCAATACAGGATGCACTCCCTCTTTCTAGTATCAAGTTCTTTTATGCGCTCTTTCGCAAATTTCAAGTCATGACTGAAACCAGTTCACCGCTATAGAAATTCTGTAGCACGCTTACACTATGACTTATGTATACAATCTTACAGCTTGGCCTTGGCTCCAATAGCTTCACTAACAGGTGCCACCTCGACCATCATCTTGCCGGTATTGGCACCTTCGTAAAGGCTCACTAGACCCTGAGGCGCCGCCTCCAGTCCACCCCGAATGATATGCTCCTTGCGCTTGATCTTCCCCTGGGTCAACCATGTCGAGAGATCCTTCAAGGCAATATCATACTTCTTCGCATAGTCGAACACGATGAAACCCTTCATTGTGATCCGTTGCGACTGCAATACACCATTAGCGATCGATCAGCTACCACCTGCCAAGCAGTAGAAACTTACAATGACGTTCATGAAACTCGCAGGCCCCTGGGGCTTGGCCGAGTTGTACTGGCTGATAGCACCGCAGATCGCGAACCGAGAGTCTTTCTGGGCCCGCGCGAGACAAGCATCGAGGATTTCCCCTCCGACATTGTCAAAGTACACATCGATGTACTCCGGCGTAGCCTCCTTCAACTGCTTCTTCCAGTCCTTATCCTTGTAGTTGATCGCCACATCGAATCCAAGCTCCTTGACCAGGAACTCGCACTTGTCAGCACTGCCCGCAATGCCGACCACCCGCTTGGCTCCCTTGACCTTGGCAATCTGTCCGGCGACCATGCCCGTCGCGCCCGCAGCACCAGACACAACGACGGTGTCGCCGGGCTTCGGCTGTCCGACCTCGATCATACCAAAGTAGGCAGTCAACCCCGTCATTCCGAGCACCGACATGGCGTCGGTGGGTTGGCATCCGGGAGGGACGACCACCTTCTGGGCCTCCTTGGGCCCCAGCAGACAATACTCCTGCCAGCCGGAGTAAGCGACGACCCAGTCGCCGACCTTGTATTGGGATTGTAGTCCGCTTCCGACCGCGAGCACCTGTGCGATGCTCTGGCCGCGCATTACGCTGCCGCGCTCAACGGGGGCAATATATGACCGTTTTGCTGTTAGCCATTGGCGCATGGCTGGGTCTAGAGAGAGGTAGTGCACGCGCATGAGGACTTTGTCATTAGGAATCTGGTCGGGGATGGAGGTTGTGTTGAGCTTGAAGGTTCCGTTGGTCAAGGATGGGTTGATGGCCGGGGAGGGCGTGTTGGCGTAGATGAGCTGTCTGTTTGAGACGGGCATTTTGGCTATCTGTTTGCTGCGACAAATATGAAAATAGAGATGGAAATATGGAAAACGTGCAGTGAAAGCCGGGGGAGCCTTCACATATAGGTTTCGGTTATCTGTCTACCTTTTTCTCCAACCCTTTTGACTTGCAGCGAAAGTGCCGAGGCACGGCCGAAGTTCTGCATTTAGTTATCATTCCGTCCTCAAATTTGTCTCACTAATCACGATTCAAAGGAGCTAATCTAGAGACAGAGTTGGCTCCGCAAATCAACAGACTTGTCTCTAGCTCTAGAAGAAGTCTAGAAATTAACAGGGCCATTGGCTTTATTATTATTGCAAGAGGCAGAGGGAGCATAATTGCATTGTTGATTTATGCAGTGCATAAATTCATTTATTTATTCATGACGTAGTTATGCACGCTATCTTATCGATAAGGATTTTCTTTTTTCGGATATAGAGAGGTGCAGCCACTGAGCAATTTGTACGACCTCATGCCAGCTCAAGGAGATTGAATTGGCCTCGTATTGAATAGATCAAGCTTTTTTCATCCAGACAGCCTATGATCTACGGAGTACCACTTGGGAACTCATCCAAAGAGCATGTGGTCCCCGACAGAATATGGGGTCAGCCTGACGTCACCGGTCAAGGCGATGATGTCGAAGGTGCTGAGCATCAAACTGGGGCAAACTATAAGAACGTCTACCGTGGTATTCGACGGACTTTTAATCCGAACACTGAATATCAAGTTACTATCTCAGATAAACAGATAATTTCCGGATCTACAACATGAGTACCACACAAACACCTTATCAGTCCTCCATCGGAGGCTACAACCAAGACCCCAACTCCACCACTCCCATTGGGACCAACGTCAACACAGCAGCTAGCACCGGAGACCCTTTCACTGGACCTGCCTCCAAGTCAGCCGGACCACATAACTCCAACGTTGCCAACACTCTCGATCCCCGCGTCGACAGTGACATGAACAACCGCGCCCAGTACGCCCCAGGCCTGACCTCCTCCGGAAACGTCCACCCGGGCGCCACACAGAGCTACGACAACCCGAACAGCTCCAACGCGGGCCCTCACAGCTCCTCGGTCATGAACAAGCTCGATCCCCGTGTCGACAGCCAGACCGGCAACACGACCTCCAAGACGACCAACCAGACGGGTACAGGCGCCTCCCGCAATCCTACCGACACCACTGGAGTGGGCGCAGGCGCGGGTGTCACGCAGGGCTCCTCGACCACCTCCGTCGGAACGCCTGGAGTGGAAGATAATCGCTCACGATATGACCCCAATGTATCAGGGTACAACCCAGCGACTGGGTCTGGATACGCGACTACCGGCGGCGTGGGCCACCAGCCCGCCCCGGGATCCAGCAGCTACGATAACCAGGACTACCGAGCTGAGTATGCGCCCAGCACTGAAAACAAGCAGTATACTGCGGATGGACAGGGCCGAGCGGCAGCCAAGGGCGAGGGGATTGGCCGTGGGGTGAAATCGGCCATTGCTGGCATTCACGTAAGTGGACCCGCTACGTTCTCTGGTGGGCGGAATGAGTATTAACGAGGCCTTCGACAGGGTGCTGGGGAATCGTTGCGGGGAGCAATCAATACAGCTGTTGATACGGCATTTGGTCATGAAGCAGGCGCAGCGAAGAATGAGGCCATAGCGAATAAGGGTGAGCAGGAGATACGGTCGGGTACGCTTTCTGGCCAGAGGGAGACTCGCTAGGCAGTCTGCGTTTACTTTGTCATGAATGATGATACCACAGTTTTTGTACTTTGCAGTTGAGACTACATGAGATTGTAACTAGATTGTCCCTTACTCCATACCGTCATTGTGCTGTGTCGCGGAACATAATGTGTCATACCTATGTATTCGTATGTTCAACGCATTAAGTTATGATTCAGTGGCGAGGTAATGGCCAGGTCCAAGTTAAAGAGAGTTTGATTTATCTGATCTTCTCTGGAATGTATGGGGGGCGAATATCCTTCTATGACGTGCCCAACGGGACTGTTCACTAATGATATCGTATAGCAGCAACAACAAATATATATAGACAGCACCATGGAACACAGCATCCAAACACAATAATCAGGGGCTAACTGGGTCAAGATCGAATCAAGCATTCTCCAGTTTCTGCTTACCGGCGAATCATCATCATCCCTCAATAGCTTCATCCACAACTGCTGGTGAGTGCCTTCCGGGAGCTCCGGAGGCTGTGCAATTTCAGTGGAACCGAGATTTTTTTAAAAAAAAAAGGAAACAGAATGAAACCAACAGAAGGTTCGGTTGGTTAAAAAAGGATTATGAATCATTATTGGTTTTGAGAAGAGAGAACCTTGAAGGAAATTCATCATCTTCTTTATCATCAACATCAAACCAAGCAACTTCTACTGCCATTTTTGAGACAGATACGAATACGACTACGACAAGTTAGAGCTTCATCGCCTCATCCCAGCTCAGACATCTCCATCTCCACTTGTTAGACTGCCTTAGTCTCTCACATGCAAATGTCGTGCTAGTTGGCTTATTTATATATCATTATCTGTCTTCATTGTCGTTCTTGTTGCATCATCATCACTCTCGTTACTACGCATGGACAAAGTCATCCACCAACACCAGCACCCTCAACTTCGACATCATGCCGCTCTCGCTGGTCAATCCGGAAGACCATGACCAGGTCAACGCCATTGTGGATGCATCTTCCAGCCCGGAGGATCGCTCTCCGATCCTCCAATCTAACTCCGACAGCGATGAACTGGGCTACCACTCCGTCGATGCAGCCAAGGAAGATGAAGCCGACGAGATGGTTGGCGTCAGTATCGGCCCGACGCAGAGTCGCATGAAGGCCCGTTTGACGCCCGCGGAGGAGAAATCTCGCGTCATGGAGCGCAATGGCCAGTATTTTGATGTCATTCCTGACACTGTCGTCGAGTCCGATGGTCTCTTCCTTCCTGAGATCACTTCTGAACCGGAGTCGCTGCCGGAGGCTCGGGAATCCCAAGCGCATCCGCCAGAGAAAGCTGGTCTACAGGACCGTGCTGCCCTGGCTCGGAATGGGGTGCACCCGAGCACTATCTCCCCGGCAAAAGACGGTCAACGGACCAGTTTCACCAGGTCGATCCTGAAGAATGGACTGCCGCGTCCTCGGGCCTGGTCCGGGGATGCTATTTCCAACCTGCGGCTGAAGAAGTTTCTGCCGGATCTGGGTTCTTTGGCGAAACGATCTTCACTGCCCTTTCGGTCAAACACCTTGCATAACCGAGCTCACAGCCAGACTGTGAAGCCTATGCCGTCCGGAATGGCTCTTGAACAGGCCCTAGCGGCCGCTGAACAGCAGCGGCGGCGGTCGTGCTCAACGCCAGGCCCGCATCCACCTGCTGCGGAGGAGCCAATTCCTGAATTGCGACCTTTGAACGGGATGACGACTGCGAAGCATTCATATACACGAAAACCCAGTAATTTCTCCGGGCACGCGGCCTCGCTCAGGCGGTCCTCGTCAGACCAATCTTTGTACCTGAGAGCATCGTCCACGGCGTCGTCCCTAGATCAGGCACCCCAGTACGAACACATTCATTCTCAGGTCAACAGTCGTTTCAAGGCCATCAAGGACAGTCTCCAGGACTCTAGCAGCCGGCTGCTGAGCATGCCCACCTTGCACCTTCAGGATCTCCGCAGCGAGTGGGGATACAAACCATTTCTCAGCGAAGTCACCCAACGAAAAGGAGTCCCGCAGACTGCCGAACCGCAGTCCCACCGGGAGATTCTCAGAGAAAAGACCTCGCAGTCGCGCGACCAATCCCCACGCAATAATTCTGCCTCGACGCATCCCATACTGGCCGAAGCCATGTCCGAGTTGACCGGCGACGTCGTCATCTTAGGAGGCTACCGGGGCTCTATCCTGCGCTCTGCCAAACCGCCCCATCGCCAGCTGTGGGTTCCGATGAAAGTGGGACTCAATCTTCGCAAGGTGGATCTTGAAGTCGGCTTGAATCCGGAGGACGAAGAGCGGATGGAGGAAACGATCATCCCCTCGGGTGTGTTGTCGAATATCGGGCCCGTTGATATCTGCCGCCGTCTGATGAAGCGCCTGCATAAGTGCGACAACGCCGTCAATGGCAAGCTCCGTGTCTGGAACTACGGCTACGATTGGCGACTAAGCCCGCACCTACTTTCGAAGAAACTGATCAAATTCCTGGAAGGCCTCCCGTCCAACGCTCCCGATGTGCCACCCGAGAGGAGAGGAGCGTATGTCATTGCGCACAGCCTGGGTGGTCTGATTACGCGCCATGCCGTCAACCAACGGCCCGAGCTCTTCGCTGGCGTCCTCTACGCAGGCGTCCCCCAGCACTGCGTTAACATTCTCGGGCCCCTGCGCAACGGAGACGAGGTCCTTCTGAGCACCCGGGTGCTCACCGCGCAAGTGAACTTCAGCTTCCGGACGAGCTTCGCCCTGCTCCCCGAAGACGGCCGCTGCTTCATCGACAAGCGCACCAAGGAAGAATACCGCATCGATTTCTTCTCCGTCCAGAGCTGGGACGAATACCGCCTCTCACCCTGCATCAGTCCCGCCCTGCCCCCGCTGACAGCCACCCGCGGCTTCAAGGACAACCTGCCCGATCTCGGCATCCGCAAGCGTTTCACTACCGTCCTCGGCAGAGACAACGGCTCCGCCGAAGAAATCACCGACGCACCCACCCGACGCAGCACAGACGGCCGCGCCGTCCACCACCCAAACTTCCGCGAGAACGCATCCCACGCCACCGACCCCGTCTCCGACGTTGCCAACAAGGCCTCCGCCATGGCCCCGACAGGCGACGGCCTCGTCGGCCCCACTGCCAACCTGCGCGGTGCCACGGCACCCAGCAAGCTCGCAACAACGTCCACCATCCCCCGCGCCACGGCCCTCGCCTACCTCGAGCGCACCCTGGCCGAGGTCAAGCGCTTCAAGCAGGAGCTCGCCTTCGACCCCGCCCACCAGGCCGAGAACCGCTACCCGCCTGCCGCCGTGCTCTACGGCAAGTCCGTCCCCACTGTCTACGGGGCGCGCATCTGGTCGCCCGACCAGATCAGGCGCCAGGACGCGTACGACGACCTGGCCTTCGCGGCCGGCGACGGCGTCTGTCTTGCCTCGGCGGCGATGTTGCCCCCGGGTTACCGGATCATCAAGGGCGGGCTGGTCAAGAGCGAGCGCGGGCATGTTGGGCTGCTGGGGGATTTGGAAGGTGTGGGCCAGTGTCTCCGGGCTTTGGTCCGTGGCCGACGGGAGGGCGTCGGATTAGGGCCGGGGCCTGAGCCAGAGCCTGCGCCTTCTTCGTAGGCTCTTGTACGGACTGCATGCATTTGATACCCTAAGCGCTTGTTTTATGATGACGACAATACGAGTAATGACCCGACTGCTATCTCTGCATGGCGTCTTTGTATACTACATCTCCAATCGTTCATATATAGAAGATAGACATGTATAAACGTATCGATCTATCCCTGCTATATTTTATGATCGGTTTCATTTTTCTCATATAGCCATGGTCTATAGTATTCCGCCAACCGCCAAGATGATCCTCCAAGTTCAATAGATATAACGATACCACAAATCACGCGCCGCATAGAATTCTAAAAACGAAGAAGAAGAAGAAAAAAGTAAATTCTAACCCGTTCTCGAGTTGGCAATGTTGAGGACCAGAATGTCCGATGCGCCGACCTTGAGCAGTTCGTCCATGACGGTCGCGATCTTCTTCTTCTCGACCATGGAGCTGACGGCCACCCAGCCCTCCTCCTCCAGAGCGGTGATTGTGGGCGCACGCTTGCCGGGAGTAATCTGAGACGCAACCGATAGCCCGGAGCGGGGAATGTTGTACTGGCACAGGACGTATCTCTGAGCGGCTGTAGTGAGAGGGTGAGCATTTGGCCATTCAATAAAGATTTAGGGGGGACGTACTGATAACACCACTGATCCGAGACGTGATCAAATCAACAAGGGAGTTCCGGGTTGACCGAGACTTGACCAGCACGGCTGTGCTCTCGACGACAGTATCAATGGCCTTGAGACCAGCAGCCTTCATGGTCTCGCCGGATTCTGCACTCGTTAGTCTTGAACTCAACCGAGGGCAACCGCAGTAGAAACATACCAACAAGATCGACAATACCATCGGCCACACCAAGAGCACAAGCAGCCTCGACACTACCGCCAACATACTTGATCTTGGTGCTGAGCTTCTGCCCAAACTCTACGCCCTCCAGCCGAGAGAAGAAGGCCTGTGTCAGCGCCGTGAAGCTGGTCACAACATTCTTGCCGATCAACTGCTTCGCCTCCACGATGTCGCCCTTCTGCGGAACCTGCACCTGCAGCTTGCACCCGCCGAACCCGAGATCCATAATCTCCTCGACACCAGAGACCTCGCCCTCGGGCAGCTGCGCATCATGTTCGGCGACCTGGTCACGTCCGGTGATACCGAGATCTACGCGGCCCTCGCCGACAAAGGTCGGGATGTCTGCGGCGGGGAGGAAGATGAGGGCAATGGGGAGGTTCTTGACTAGCGCGATGTCGAGCCGGGTTTCGCGGCGGAATTGGATGTCACTGCCCGACAGGAGGTCCAGGGTAGCCTGTTGGAGACGGCCCTCTGTTGTGAACAAGAGGTATGAGTTAGCTGGGGAGTCTTCGTCGTTGCGATCGTAGGGTCTTGAGATCAGAGAATGGAATTGCGACTGTGAAAGACGAGGTGAGTCACGGAGGGAACTTGCTTTTAGGGACCGCGAAGAGGAGTCTTCCTTCGAGGCTGAGAAATAATGTTAGTCAATATGCGACACACATATGATATAGCAATTGAGTCTAATCAAGGGTCTGTTCTTGGTGGTGAGGTCACGTACTGGTTGACGAGATCCATGTCTAGTGACGATCAAGGGCGCGGGGTAGAAGAGACTTTTGTAGGGAATCGCGGCGAGCTTAGAGGGGGAAAGAATTGATATTATCCACGAGCGAAATCAAATGGTCAGCGGAAATATTATACAGTAAATCTAACGGGAATTGACTGGCGCATCGGCGACGTGCTGACCGGAAAGTTGCTGGTTTCCACGAACGAAATCGGAGTTCAGGTTCTGACTCGAACGGTGAGGGGCAGAGGAGCAGGACAGCCAGGAATTCAACGCAATTGCGACTACATCTGTTAAGGTAAAGCTATATCTAGTATGCACATGGAAGCCAAATCCATGAATACAGGTTCTACGAATCACATTATTTTCTTGAACCACGAGGATCCCAAGGTTGAACCTGGAGTTCTGCCATCAGAAAAAAAAAAGTGGCGGTTGCTCATCGGAGACCAACCGATGCCTTGAGGCCTGAATGCTGCCTTGCACCACTATGCCTGAAATAGGACTCCGTGATGCCTGAATTCCCAGGTGTCAGTTAGCCCTGAACCCTCGCGTAAAGTTCCAATTCCCGCGCTATTCCCAAAATAGAAACCCACACAAGCCCGCAAATTCCTCGCTTGCAATCACAGTCCACCACACCACTCTACCCGTACGGCCTCATCTAACCCACCGAACGCCGCCATCTTCCCTTCTATCCCGTCAAGTCAACCCTCTCGCTGTCGTCGAGCCCAACCTCCAAGATGGATTCCGCCAAGCAGCCTGTTAAGCTCGTCAAGGTGACTCGTGTTCTCGGCCGTACCGGTACGTGTGATCTACAATCTACAAACAATGACGGATGTCGCGTGGAATTCGGTATAATAACTGCTCGCTTTAGGCTCCCGTGGTGGTGTCACCCAGGTCCGCGTCGAGTTCATGGATGACACTTCCCGCAGCATCATCCGTAACGTCAAGGGTCCAGGTATGCGATTTCCGTTGAGCGATTGATTTTTGGAGGTTTTTTCTTTCGGTGGTCCTTGTATCCCGGCCGACAATCCGATTGCGACAATTCGAGACGGAGGAAGAAACTGGTCATCTCAGTGCAAGAGCGAACGAAAAAAGGAATGACTGCGAATGCGGACGCGACTGCAAGCCCAAACCATATTGAAACCGGATACCGGGGACCATCGGAGGGGAAAACCAGGGTCAAATATTCAAGAAGTGCATGGGCTAACTAGGAACCTCTGTCGCAACCTACAGTCAAGGTCGATGACATCCTCTGCCTGCTCGAATCCGAGAGAGAGGCCCGCCGTCTGCGGTAATTCCGTGTCGATTTTCTCGCCGAGTTGTCGTCTTTTATTCCCCTCTCGAGGCCGTGTACGTTTGCTTGCGTTGGAAATGATTCTGGGAGGTCGGGAAAGGCAAAAGTTTTTCTAGCAATGAGAAATGCGTGGCTGGGTTCAACTTTGCATGGGCTGATGCGAACGAAACGGTTGTGATACTTTGGCTTTCCATCCAAATCTTTCTACATATCCTATCTGTCTTCGAGATATCAGGGAATAAAAGAGAGAGCCAACGGGGAAACCAAGCTCAACCCTTTCTAATGAAACGCAAAAAAATTCGAAAGCAACGATGCACGAATGGACGGACTTTTCTACCTTGATCCCTTTTCTTCGTGCTGTCAACTTGTCGCTTGTCATACACTTGATCGCATTGCCCTTCTCGAAGGTGACAGGCGAGTAGAATTGTCCTCTGGTTGATCTTCCGTTCAGGGTGGCTTGCATGACATGGGTTAGAGAAGATCTAGATCACTATGAATCGAGGACAAATATATGACGATCACGCAACCACGTCCTCCTTGCATCGAGATTGGATCTAGGTCTTCCCTGCAGGTGAGGGCTAGTTGGGACAAATTGAGACTGCATTGATAAGAGGTGTTGGTCGTGACTCGCTGCGCAAGTCCAACCTCTGCCAAATGCAAGTCGCACTGAGTCCTACCTTTTTCCCAGTCGAGAACAAGCTAACCGACCCCTACTACGTCGCGCCTTAGTAAGACCCGAATACTAATGTAGTAAGTAGGGGTCAGTATTACGTTCCGTGCAATGATCGCCAGCCATTGATATAGATTGTAACGCGTAGTAGCGCGTAGTAGCTTTCGACCTAAGTCTACATTACCAGGTTGACCGATTGTCAACATGAACTAAACTACGGTTGCATTTAAGCTGAACATACGGCGTAAGGATTGATCTTTGAGCCCGATATATGTGGTCACTATATGTACAGTAATGCCAATTCCCCGAAACCTTTCGCCGGTCTGCAAGTCGACCTAGAGCTCCTCCGCGTTGCTGATGAGCCGTTCGAAGAAGTCCTGATCCCCTTTGGCAGGATCCTCCATCAATCCTCCAACAGCCGTAAGAAGTCCGGCAAGTCGACGACGGCGAATCCGCTCTTCTAGCTCCGCACTCTTCTGCCTGGCCACTTCGAGTAACGGCGCTGGTAGGTTCGCCAACCGCGCCACGTTCAATCCGTAACTGCGATGCGCCACACCCTCACCGACCTCGTAGAGGAAGGTGATCTCCTCCTCCTTGCCAGAACCGGACTCGGTGAATCGCATGTGCACGTTGCGAAGTTCGTGGTCCGGGAAGGACTGCGCCATATTGGAAAGATGCTGATAGTGGGTGATAAAGAGGGTCAGACTTCGGATCGTCCGTACCATGTAATCCAGAACCGCCTGCGCGATGGCAACCCCGTCATGAGTAGACGTACCCCGGCCCAACTCATCAAGGATGACCAGCGAACGGGGCGTTGCCTGTTTGAGGATGTCGGCCGTTTCTGACAGTTCGACCATGAAGGTCGATTCACCCGCCAGCATGTTGTCGAAAGCTCCCATGCGAGTAAACACCGCGTCCAGCATGCCGAGCTTCGCGGACCGAGCGGGCACGTAGGAGCCAATCTGCCCCATAATGGCAATCAGGGCTACTTGCCGCACATAACTGGACTTGCCGCCCATGTTCGGACCAGTGACGAGGAGGGCACGAGTCTTGTCGCTATCCAGATCAATATCGTTGGGAACATAGCTATCGAGCAGAAGCTGCTCCACCATTGGATGGCGCCCTTGTTGCACGTGAATACATGTTTGGTCGGTATATTCGGGCTTAACGTATCCTGGCTGGCTAGCAATTGCAGCTAGTGAGAGCAAACAGTCAAGCGTCGCTAGAGATTGAACGCAGTCACGGAAGGACTGATAATTAGTCGCTATCTCGGCCAGAAGAGCCGCGAACGCTTGGTCGCACGCTGCAGCCAGTGCTTCCTTGTGCTGATCTCGTTGCCGTAATAGCTGAATGACCTCTGGCGTATGAAATCTAGAAAGCTTCTTGGTGCCGCTTACCTTGACCCATGATGCCGGCACTCGTTTGATGGCCGCTGCAGTGTTCTCAACCTCGATCAAATACTCGATCCCTGACGAAGTAACGTAAGTCACCTTCGGCCACTTGAGGATCTCAGCAGCGACAGAGCGATGTTCGTCTAATTCATGTTCGACGCTGGCGATCCCGAGCTTGTGTTCGCTAATTTCTTCTGTTTCCTCTGATTCCCGAAAGAATTCATACTTGTCGTCGTTTCGCGCCGCATGCATATTGATCTTGTTCAGGAACTTGATAACATCTTCCAATATTGACGGCAGTCGAGCAATAGCCTCACCGAGAATTGGCGATGTGAAGCCAGAGTCCTCAGGGGTCTTGACGTCAACGTACTCCCGTGCAATGGTCTGCAGCGTCTGGAGAACGGTGAGGAGCTCTGGGCGCGTGCACTGCTTCCTCGTTAGTAAGACAATCCGCCGCAGGTATATTCAACTCTCATGTACATGTACATACCTTCCCATAGTAGATCCGAATCAGATTCTTCTCTAAATCGCTCTTGATCTTTCCTAGCAATATCTTCAGTCTCTCGACCTGCACAGTCCTGTCCGGACTCTTCAGCTCCTCAACAGCATCCACCCTTTCCTCCAGGCGCTCCTTGTCCAGCAAGGGCCGTCCGACCCATTTTCGAAGCAACCTCTGTCCAAATCTAGTTTGAGTTCGGTCCAATGTCCAGAAAAGACTGCCTTTGGCCGAATGATCCGTCTGGTTCTGGTAAATCTCCAAACTGACCAAGGTATTCGCATTCAGCAGCATGTGTGATCGAGAAGAAAAGTGTTGGAAATACTTGGTGAGCTCGAAAATGTGCTCCAATCCGTACTCTGTCAGATGCTCGATCATAGCCGAAAGACACACCGTCACCTGCTCGGTCAAATTAAGCACCTTTTGGAGTAAGTTACTGGCTGGCGCATCGTCCGCAGTATGGGCTGCCTTCAGTTTTGCAGCATAAAAGTTTGCAACATGACTATGTGATTCGGCAACTGCGGTCTTCTTCTTAGCGACCCTATCCACGCGGACTTTGTCGCCAAACGTATTCAGCTTGCTACCAGAGAGATGTTGCACAAGTTTCTCTGTAGCCTTGGACAGTTCTCCGACAATGACAAGTTCGCAAGGTGCGATATGAAGTAATCTAGTTTCGACCTCACTTCTCATAAATCCGTCCTCAAAGTCATCGTAGATGATGTCACCGGTATTCGGCTGGACAGCGACGATACCAACATGTACTTTTTCGTCGTTGCCCCAGCCCTTTGCATTTGTTTCAGTAATGCATAGCATGTACCCGGTAGCCGGGGAAGCACCGCCTGATGCAGCTGGCGTAGCGCCATCCAACCCCTCAACATCGTCTACGTAAGTACCCTTCGTGTATAGGTTGGTAAGTTTTCGGGAGAAAGGAGCATTGCGATTGTCTCCAGCAGCCTTGAGGGCGGCAGTTTCCAGCTGCCTCACCACGCCGACCTTGTATCCAGCTGTTACGAGACGTTTTACATGCACGTGTAATCGGTGGACTGGTATACTAGCGGATGCGAAGCGATCGAGATGAGCTTCGGAGGGATCTGTTGGCAATTGGACGCCCTTTAGCAATCATATCCACAATGCAGGAAAACAGAAGGAGTATTTGAAGTGACTTACGTTCATCAAACCTCATTTTGCCAGGTATGCATACAATACTCAATTCCTTAGCGGCGATCCTCGCATCCTCGCCAAAGAATCGAAACTTGTAGCCCACCTCAATCACCAAAACTGCGTCCATATGCTTGCGCTTGATCTCAATCACTTGCTTCTCCAGCGGAGTCAGCTTGTTCCCACCCTTCTTTGACGCACCCTTCCCCTTTGATCGGGGCGGAGGTGCCGGTTCATCATCCTCATCGCCTTCCGCAATTTCCTCCGCGCCAGAAGGAGCCTCAGTCGCGGCATTCCTACCTATTCCGATAAGGCAGTCAGCTCCTCCCAGCTTCTTAACAAAAAGTCTGTGTAGTTTCTCGCGTTCCAGCTGACGCTGCCTCTCTTCCGGATCGTCTGCTTTCTCGATGATTGCATCATCAGCAGGAGAGCTCGCAAACTTGTAAAGATTGGTGCGCTGGCTGCTGCTTGATGAAGGGTCTGGTCCGCGTGCAGCATTCGACGCTTCTTTGATATTGCGTCGAAGCCCGTTCGCGGAATCAACTCCGTTCGATTTGACCCGCTTCGGAGCCGGAACCACTATATCCTCATCCTCGTCGTCCATCAAATCATTTTGATCCCTTGTGATTTCACGCAACGGCACCTCTGCCTTTTTCTGGCTCGTCGCTCCCTCATCTTCAAGGTCGTTGGTTCTCTTCTCTGTTGTCGGCGCCCTCTTCGTGAAGAAGCTGGAAATGGTCTGTTGTTTACGCTTGAGACTCTGTGAGGATGGCGGTGATGACTGCGATGATTTTAATGTCATTTTACCTCGCAAGAGTCGCTGTGGACTTCGGAGTCAAGAGGTCAACGCGAAGCAGGGTCAGATTAGAGGCGTGGAATTTAGCATCGCAAGTATAGAAGTGGCGATGAGTCTTCCAATATCTTTTGAGCGAGCGGTACCAGGGTGCACCTTATTGGAAAGCCTCTAGATAT